GRRGRAAAWTWAAAWYMARRRKTWAAAAAAAAAAAACGCACGTATAAATTGGCACTGAAATTRTATGTGTAAGTACTGCAACGGACATAGGTATGGCAAGGACGTTCTAAAAATACACACCAAAATAATAACACGAATTCACTACTATACGCTCRACCGAGTTATATCTAACTTTAATAACTAATAAGTACTTATATTATTAATATTTCACTCACGGTATTGGTTGTCATGTCGATGACCACGTAAATTAGCAAGACAATCTCCTGTTCATCAGATCCTAGAAGGTTCCCTTGGTGGCCGGCCGTGGCCACGTACAGGGCACATAGGTACGGTGTGGCAGCTCTCATGTTGGTGACTTTAATGCTTTTGCAAACGTCTTGCAGTTGTTTCTGAAGGCCCCCCTCCTCCACCGCCTCAACCATCGGTCGAGTATCACAGACCGTCGATTTGTTGTCGGACATTCCCCATTACCTATGTAAACAAACATAATATTAAATATCAAAAAACAAAACTAATTATAACTTTCTTATATTGTAATGAAAATAAAAATAAACACTAGGTACCCTGCATATTAAATTTTACTTTCTAAAAAAAATGAAACAACTAGAAGTTAAGTAAAATGTTATATCCAATACAATTTTTAAATAGTTTTTTAAATGTTATGCATCTACCTATTTATTAATTTACCATTTATTTAGTTGTATCCAATACAGATTATGTATTATGTAACAACTGTATTTTAAATTTTTAAATTAATAGTGAAAAACAACAGTTATCGTAGGTAACTATTATATAAAATTATATAACTGTATTTTAATAGTATAATAATAATTGTAGTAATCTTTTTCAAAAGTATCACATTTTGTTTAAGGATAAACAAAAATACATAATTTGTCAAAATATTTTATTGACTGCACGTTATAACGTAAAACATTGTGTATTCTTTTAAAAATTTTCWTGACCTTGACAGTGTTTACTAGACTAATCGGTCTCCTGTAATAGAAGGAAATTTACATGTGACGCAATTTACTTCCATGGCCATATATTCGCTGAGTACGTGTACTTCATTATGTACACGTGATTCATATTATCAACACGTTATCAATTTGACCAGCATAAATTAATATTTAATAATATGTGTCATTATTTTTATGGAAACATTTCATTTTCTAGAGCTGGGGGACAATATTTTGTATTGTTTTTTTATGACTATTCGATTTTACAAGTCATGTAAAACAATTTTTTTTTAAACGTCACACCCCAAATCTTAAAAATTGTTCAACATAACGATGAACTGAAGTCTATTGATGTACGTACAACGTATACATAATATTATGATGAACATTTTTACTAACAAATCGTATATATACCTATAATAACTAATAAGTAACAATCAATAATAATAACTAATACTGTGCCAAAACCAATAGTTACTTAAACCTATTAAATAATCCATAGAAAATAAAGCAGTTTCTACAACACAACGTAGAAACAGAAAATTACAAATTTCAATAATTTTCAATATCTTTACATTTTTTTAATAAACATAAATGAAAATGAAAGGGTTTGAAATTTTGTTGTACGCAAGCGGAGTTATTCAATAACGATCGAACATTCCAACTTATATGGGAAGCCAAATAACATTAAACTACAAAAAGTAATTCTCTTTACGAGCATATACAGTATTAATACTGAAAATATTTTGTATTATTTTTCAAACAACGCACAAAATGAGTCAAAAGCATYCGAAAATAGTTTAAAAAATACTAAAAATAATTATAAAAGGTAGTGAAAAATTAATAGTAATAAAAATATGATTTTATTTAACATTTTTAAAAAACAGTTTTAAACTAAATTTAAAATAATACTTCGAAGTATTTATCAAGTTCAACACTCAATACACAATAACAGTGACCTAGAATAACAATAGATAGGCACTTACATCGTATAATCCACTATTAGGTAAATGTATGAGACGTATTTAAAAAAAAAAATTAAAGTTGTATACAAGATTATTAGTACCTACATCACATTTAGTATTTAATTTATATATTTTAGATTAAAAAAAAAAATAATAATATATAGCACATGCACTAAAAAAATACAAGAATATATTAATTAGGTAGGCAAAATATAAATAAAACAACATTATTTTAAATCTTACGCGTATAACAGATACTTTCAATAGTACCTATTATACTTTAATACCTAAAACTATTTTTTCAGACATATTTTTTAATGAATATAATATTTATGGCCTTGATGTATTCAAAATAGAATAACAAATAGAACGCACTTAGGTATAATAATAATATGATGCGTTGAACATAACGTGGTTCTTACACTCAATTTATTACAAATAGAACATTATAAATGTATTCCAAGTTTATGTAAACGAACTGAAAACTACTTAATAAATGAATAATTTCTAAGTACTTGCAAATTATTTGTTAAAAGATTAGGTATACACATTTCATATAACATTGTAATATGCCAAATACATTTCCTAAAATTATAGTAAAAACTTAATATTTTAAAATAAAATTTCAAGTTTTCTTAAGTCAAATCAAGAATTTGAAAATTGTGTAAGGAAAAACGTTATGAATATTAAACGTTACACCTTTAGTTATGCCAAGTTATGGAGATTATCAAATTGATTATACTAACTGAACATTTATTGATATCGTATTAAGTACCTACACAAGTGAACATATATAATTAAAATGTAATATTAAAAAATAGTTTACCAACTAAATTATGTATTGCAATACCTAGATAATATTTTATTCAGAGATATTGCGAGATCAATATAATTGGTTAACAGTATTGAAAATGAACACTGATTGCTACAAATTATAAGTCGCATTAAATGTTAATAATTATAATCATAATTAGTCATTTTGCGAGTTGCAATATTACGTCGGTGAAAACAGAAAAACCAAAAAGTTTCTCAATACAGTAGGTATGCATAATGCATATAAAATATTTTTTTAATTTTTAATGAGATGTGGTTTGTTTCATAAAGGGTCGTCGCAAAAAAATTAATTTGTATACACCTTTTGTATACACCTTTTGTAATGCAGAACGGAAACGTCAAATATCGTTGAAATAATGAGACCGCGTAGGTAGGCTTTCACCAGCAACGAATGGTTTACCGGTAGCCGCAACAGTCCACTGTGCCCAGGAAAACCGTTTTGCGACCGATGAACCGATTAAAAAAAAGTACGGCAAGCATTTCCCACTTTAACAAATGCAAATTGAGAAGAACGATAATACCATAAAAATTGTATACGCGCAAGCAATAGGGACAAAATAGCTAGTCTATGTATATTGTATATACACACGATGCGGTTGATAAAACAACGGTTACATAGAACAGTACTAGGTACGATTTTAAGGTTAAGTTAATTTAATAAAATTAGAATTTTCAATTACAAATTTTACAGTATAGGAGCAATTGAACTTGTGAACCTGTAAAATGTAGGTCCATACATCAAAATAACCTATTTAATTATTTATTTTGAAAATGGTTTTGATTGATACATTGCAGGACRATGTTCTCTTTAAGTATAAATAGATGAATATACAATAGTATATATTATATAAATTATAAATGTTATAAAAGCGTGAATAAACTACAATAAATGATCTAATATACAATTGATTAGGTTTTTATTTTGTTAATCAGTGGCGTAGCCAGGATTTTTAAATGGGAGGGGCTAAACACTTTTTTGGGCAGCTAAGATAAGAGAAGATTTGAGAATTCACCCCCAACCACCACCCACCAAGTCAATAAATGTTATTCCAGCACTTAAGTATAGTTTTAAAAATATTTATTAAAATATACTTTATAATAAGAATAATAATAATTTTTATTTCAGTCACTTGCTCCACTCTGATAGCTGCATCCTCTTGGGCGAATTTCGGGCGAATTCAGTTATTACTTCACTTTTATCAAATTGCTCTTTTTTATTTATATTAGCCATAGCTAACCCATTCAGTCGATTTTCCGACATGGTGCTTCTTAAATAATTTTTTAAGCGATTAAGTACAAAAAACGTTCTTTCAGGAGTGGAAGAAGTAACTGGTAACGTGGCAATTAATTGCAAAAGTATTTTAATGTTAGGTTGGAGATTGGTGCAATGAGAGAGTGAATCAACGGCAGAATTCKGTTTTGGAATAGTATTTTGCTTCCATTGTTGCCTCCATATGAACAGCTCAGCTTTGAGTATAGATGGAGTATCATCATGGAGATCTTGGCCATATATTTTAACAGCTTTTATAATATTTTCATCGTCGTACATATTTAAATTGGCCGGAATAAGTCCTTCGAGTGGCATAACATCAGTAAGTCTTTGATTAAAACGAGTATCCATTGATTCTATTAAATAGTCAAGAAAAGGAATAAAAGTAGAACATTTAAAGTATATTTCTGGATATTCAAAAATAACGTTTACTCTTTGAGTTTGTCTTTTACATATTCGGGGCATTTTTATTTCAATATTTACACTTTTTCCCATTGTGACAACGTCATTAAATATTTGTTGAAATTGATTATCTGCATCACTGCGTAAACTTTCCAGAGCACTTTTTATAACCAACACATCTGATAACGTTTTTGATAAATCCTGTTGTTTGCTTTGTAAAGCAATTCTTAGTTGCACAGTAAAGGCAAAGCAAACAGCTGAAACTTCTAAAGATACCAAAAAATTACTGTTGGTCACAGAATTTAAATACAACATTGCTTTACTTGAAGTTTCTTGGTTGGTATCACCTTGAAGATCTTCAAGTGCAAGTACTATAAATACATACAACTCTTTAAATGTAATTATGGAGTTATGTCGTTCAACCCAACGCGTATCACAGAKTTTTTTAAGTTTAGTTTTTTTGTGTTTATTTGATTCAATATTATCAGTTATGTCAGCTTCTATGATGGATTTTAGTTTTTCTGTGCGTTTTGCAGATGCAGAAAAAAATGATGAAACCACAGAAATTACCCCCATCATGTTTTTAATTGAAGGAATTGCACATGCTTTTGAAATACAAAGGTTCAGAGAATGGCTAAAACAGTGAGTGTAGAAGGCTAGTGGCTGTTGTTTTGAAATTAAAGCTTGAACACCATTGTTTTTACCAGCCATGTTAGCACCACCATCGTATCCTTGGCCTCTAAGGTTATCCATACTCAGACCAATCCCTTCTAGTTTATATTTAATTGCATCTCTGATTGCCATTCCTGTAGTAGATGTCATTTCAATAAATCCCAAAAAGTCTTCTCTAATAATGAAATTTATAGTATCAACATATCGCATACAAATTTTCATCTGTTCTACTGTGCTTCTGTTAACAATGTTAATGATTTGTAGATACATTATTATTATTATAATGTCGTCTTTAATAAAAARAAATGAATTTTCTACAAATGTTTGTTCATACAAGAATAACGTAGATCACATTCAGTATATAGCA